GTAATGGTCTGTGTGTCTTCTGCAACCTTTTCTTTCAAAGTGAATGGTAGAGTTAGTGGTTATGTCACACCATCTAGAGGGATTAGGCAGGGGGATCCCTTATCCCCCTATATATTCATAATTGGGACTGAACTCCTATCTACTCTCATCTCTGATGCCTGTAACAAAGGTCATTTGCAAGGAGTTAAGCTATCCAGGAATGGGCCTGCATTGACACACTTATTATTTGCAGATGATTCTTTGTTTTTATGTAAGGCAGGGGTGGATCAGGCTACTGTTCTTTTGAACTTGCTAGAGCAATACAGGCTATTTTGTGGTCAACAAGTCAATTTACAGAAATCTGCTGCCTTTTTCAGTAAAAACACTCCTTTGCAGCTTCAGCACCTTATCTGCAACACTTTGAATGGGATTGTGGCTCACAAATCAACAAGGTATTTGGGACTCCTTCTAGGCATTGGAAAGTCAAAGAAAGAAGTCTTTGATTACCTTTTCACCTCTGTCAAAGCCAAACTGACTAGCTGGAAAACAAATTTGCTTAGCTCTACTGGGAAAGAGGTGCTGCTCAAGGCTGTGGTGCAAGCACTTCCTATATTTACAATGTCCTGTTTTAAAATTCCCCTTACTTTATGTTCAGAATTGGCTAAGTTATGTGCTGAGTTTTGGTGGAAATCAGGAAATCAGGAATCCTCTGGCATTCACTGGAAAAAATGGACTCTTCTGGCTCTTCCTAAGCTGCAAGGAGGTCTAGGGTTTCTGGATTTTAGATTGTTCAACCAAGCCTTAATCTGCAAACAACTATGGAGGATTATAACCAACCCTCAACTCTTGGTCAGCAGAGTTTTGAAGGACAGGTACTTCCCAAATAACTCCATTGTTCATGCTGATAAATGTCAAAATGGGTCTTGGTTGTGGAATTCTTGGATGGATATGATGCCTATCTTCTCTCAGTGGCTAAAAATTAAAATTAGGAATGGGGTTAACACCAGGATTGTTGACTTCAACTGGGTTCCCACTTTTTCTACTCAGCTAATGGAACTTGCCAGGGAACATCTTATTTGGGTTAAGGACCTACTGTTAGACAATGGCAGGAAATGGAACACATGGCTCATTAACCAAGTTTTCCCAGCACAAGACAGCACAACCATCCTCAACATCAATACCTTGAAACCAGACAAAGAAGACAGGTTCTATTGGGGATTACACTAGAAAGGTCTGTTTACAGTTTCCAGCACTTATGATCACCTTGTTGCTAAAAAACTCTCCCAACTAGACATCCCAGAATGCAGTTCATCCACTCCTCAGAAGAGAGCTTTGCAGTACAAATGATGGAAATTGAAGATTCAGAATAAAGTTAAGCACTTCCTATGGAAGTGTATTTCAGGCACCCTACCTGTGGCAACTCATCTCAGGAGAAAAGGCATTGATATTGATACTACATGTACTATATGTGGAGCTGCTCCTGAAACCATGGAACACCTGTTCTTCTCATGTCCAAGAGCTGCAACATTTTGGGAGTTATCACCTGTCACATGGGATCCACAAACTTGCTGCACTGACTCATTCAAATGCTGGTGGCAACAACTCTGCTCCCTTGGCTCTTCAGAGGTAGCCGAAGCTAGGATTCAACTGTCAACGTACCTGCTTTGGTGGCTCTGGAAGTCAAGAAACCTATGGGTATTTCAAAAGTCTCTGATGCCAACCCATAGAGTGCTTATTGATGCTCATTCTGACTGGTTGCTGTATACTCGAGCTGTGGGCTGACTTGTGTGTTTGTTCTTTGTTGTGATGTTTTTGGCTTTCTTTTTTGGACCTGTTTGTTGTATTCTATATATGTTTTAGGACTGTTCTGTGTGTCTTTTAGTTTTTCTGGGGTTTTATCATCTTGTTAGGCTTTGAAGCAGTGGCGGGTGATAAGATTTCTCTTTTTTCTTTCTCCTAGTTTGTTCCAGTTTGTTGAGGCTTTAGGCCATCTTGTATGTGCCTCCCAGTTTGTCCTTTCCGATTTGTATTTCTCAGTTGTACTCTATACATTTTCTCTTTTGAGAATTAGTAATACAATCTCTATCGTTTCGGGAAAAAAAAAAACAAAATAGATTTAAATAGGTAAACCAAATATAAACTTATCAATAAACGAAAAACTAATAAAAGAGATGCAAACTATTTCAAAAGGATTGAATTGCATTAAAATTTATTCCTAAATAGTATGCAGAACAGATAAAAAGTAGGAAGAGTACTATTCTCAATTGCACAACATACAATATTAAGTACAAAATACTATAATATATATATATGTTACAATAATGTATATTTTTATATTACTAATTACATGCATAACTACAAGTCACAATAAACAAAGTTGATATAACATAATTATAAAATTTACGTGAAACAAATAACATGGCGTATAAAACTACTCAAATGCTTTTTTCAAAAAAATAGAGTTTCAAGTAGGACATATGAGGAAAAAATAAATAAAACATACATGATATAACATGGAAGAAAACAAAAAATATAACTTTTACATGAATTTATTGGCATAATAGCAAATATAAAATATAAAAAGCATATTATTATTTTAATTTTATTCATATTGAGATTTAATTGCAAGAATTCAAATATTAGAATACAGTAATAAATTGATTAGAAATAATTATAATATTTGCAAATAGCAAATTTTATTTTTGTTATAATATGAATCTATATATATATATATATATATATATATATAGAAGTGCGCTCAAATAAGAATGAATCATAGTGAAAGAAATAAGAATGAATCTACACCACTGGATATACCATATCAATGGTCATGTTTAAGTCAAATTTTACTAAATAATAGTCAAACATGTAGTCAAACATATGTATTTGACCCCTCATTAAGGGTATATGTGTAATTAGACACAATACACATGGAACCCATCTTTTCCACCAACCCCAATTCACGTCACTCACCACACCCCACCTACCAATCTCTCACACACTTACCCGTCTCTCACACACTGCACACACACTTCACACACACACACACACACTTAATTCTTCCTCACACACTCAGTACACACACAACCTTTGACCGCCGGACACCATGGAACAACCACAGCCTGCCGCCTGATGCCGCGCCTCCGTCGACCGTAGCATGAGAGGAGCGCCGTCCGATAGTGCCTTCCCAACAGTTCAGATTCGCCGCCTGCTGAGATTCCGACGATATGCCGGTGCCTGAACCCCAACACCACCAGCCACTCTGTCTCCATCGAAGGAAACATCCGCCAGTCCATCGCTTTTCTCAGCGGCCGCCCGTCGACAGCTCCGAACACGCGGCACAACTCGGCGTCGGCCGGTGGTTTCGTTGCTTGAATCAAAGTGTCTCCGATTTCGAGATTCTATTGTCGGCAGGTAGGTGTAACCGGCTTTACTGATGAGGATGCTCGCCGGCCGGAGACAATATGGTGAAGGTGTGGTAGTGAACCTGTGATAAATTGTAGGGGCATGTTCAGAGGTGTGAAATACAGATTATGTTTAGGGGCATGATAGTAGACATTAGACAAATTGTAGGGACCATTTTGTAATTTTACGAACTATAATTATAGTTTAAATAATTCATGTGTTAAATATAATTTATAAAAATCACAATAAATATATAATAAAAATAAATAAGTTGTACAATATGTGTATGTAAAAAAATATAAATGCAAAAAAAAAAATAATAATATTTTTTATTATGGTTCGATCAATTTGTTTTGTTTTTCTTTTTTCTTGTAAATAAAGTTGACATCGATATTGTTCAATCTGATAGTCATTAATATGTAATTTGTCTAATGCTATGGTGCACTGATTCAGTCGTTATTGTGCAGTCTAAACAGATTGAACATTTGTCTCAAACCAAATTGAAACTGAACGACATACTGGGTTTACCGTTAACCAAATCACTCTAAAAATTTAAAATAAATTATTTTTTACTTTATAAAAAATATGTAGTATTTTAATAATTATCTATTATATTTTTATATTATTTTTGTAAAAAGGCATAATATTTTAAAAAACCATAATCGATGACGTGCATACCCAAAATCACTAATGTGCATATGGAACATTAGTGTGTATATGGTGTAACATCAGTGTGCAGTCACTAAAGCGAGTAATTTTTATGTGCATTTTAATTTTGGAAGATTTAATAATGTGTACTATAATTAACATATTATGTAGTTATTAAATTGTTTATCAAATAAAAATTATTGTGTATGTATAAATATTTATTTATTAATATTGTATATTGTTGTTGGTTTGAAATAAATAATATATATAATATAAAAAAATATTTTTTTTTTATAATTTGGTGTTCTATTATTTCTTTTTAAATAGAGCTAAAAAAAATTTAATACATGTGAAAATGCACATTGTTTACTAGTATAAATGTGCATTCTCGAATGCATTAATGTGCATTTGGTATAATATTATTGTGCAATTTGATATATGTTAATGTAAGTGCATTATCGAATGCGTTAGTGTGCATGTGGTATAACACTATTATGCAGTCTAATAGCCACTAATGTGCATCTTGTTTAACAATATTGTTCACTATGCTGTGTGAGTTTTTCTATTTTATAATTGGTTAACCGAATTAACCTAAACAATTGGAATAATTTATTATTTATATTATAAAATTTTATTTATACTTAGAAATTTTTAATTATTATTTTATATTATTTCAATATTATACATTATTTTTTGTTTAATATTTTTATTTATTATCTTAATATATATATATATGTATAAAAAAATATAAAGTATAATATTTTTTATAAATTACAATTTTGGCCCAGGTACTAAATTGAAATATAATAAAAAAATCTTAAAATTCCAAATAAAACCCTATGGCTTATCAAATTTTCAACTTAAGGCCCTTATCACAATTCAATTCCAATTCATCTGCAACTAAGATTCAATTCCAATTCATATGCAACTAAGCCCGGCTACGTGACGTCAAGCTCCATAACGTGTTCTTAGGAGCCGATAAAGGGCTGAGCATCGTCGGATTCTGTCCGATGAGGCGCGACGGGGTCGTCAATATGTGTCTGGCGAGGGGGGAAGAGAGAGATCTCGGCGGCTCGACGGGGTCGTGAATATCTGAAGGTAAATCGATCTCCCCGGCGCCGGTGTCGTTGCAGCAGACATGGACTAGGGCGACGTCGACGTCGGTGAATAGTCGATCCGTGAGAGGAAGAAGTGGGAGATGATGGAGGTGTCGGCGTCGGCGGAGGGGAAGATCGGGAGGCGCCGAAGAATGTGTATGTGTGTGTACAGTGTATCATTGGAGGATGGCCGACGCCGGATTTCATGGCAGTGGCCGGGATTCCATTCACAGACGGTCCTCTCAGTCGCCGACGGCGGTGGTTCTGTAGCTTGTCCCGGAAGGTGGTGGAGGTCGCCGGCGGGAGATCTCTGTGCGTGTGTGTACAGTGTGTGCTTGTCTGTGTATCGGTTAGTACGTATGAAAGAGAGAGAGAGAGAGAGAGAGAGAGAGAGAGAGAGGTGGTGGTGTGTGACAGGCTGTGAGGGTGTGATGGGGTGGCAGTTTTTTTATGGTGGGGTGGGTCCCACTGAGGTGGATTGTTGGTATATTACCACACTACCCTTAAAGACAACTAACCTTGCAACTACAGACAACTAACCTTGCAACTACAGACAACTAACTTTCCAACTACAAACAACTAACCTTCCAACTACAGACAACTAACCTTGCAACTAGAGAAAACTAACATTGCAACTAGACAGAACTAACCTTGAAACTACAGATAACTAACCTTACAACTACAGATAACTAACCTTGCAACCAAAGACAACTAACCTTGCAATTAAAGACAACTAATCTTGCAACTAAAGACAACTAACCTTGCAACTACAGACAACTAACCTTGCAAACTGAATACAACTAAACATTGCAAATAAAAACAACTAACCTTGCAACAAGATAGAACTAATTTTGCAACTACAGACAACTAACCATGTAACTAGAGAAAATTAACATTGCAACTAGACGGAACTAACCTTGCAACTACAGATAACTAACCTTGCAACCAAAGACAGCTAACCTTGCAACTAAAGACAACTAACCTTGTAGCGCACCGATTTTCACAAGATAAATTAGAAAAGAGCACTAAAGTTAAAACGGTATTTTAAATAAAACAAACAACTAAACTTTTGAAACGAAAGTATATTTAGTAATAATTAGATTTTTTTTATCGTTGCTCACTTTGATAAAGTAATTATAAAATATATTAAATTAAACGAAAACTGGAATAAATGAAAAGAATCTAAATATTCAAAATTTGCAACATCTAGAAACAGAAAAGAACAACTATTAACCACCTATTGAAAATACCGTTTTTCAACAATCTCACATAATGAATAAGTTTGTACAAACGGTAAATGACTTTGTTCAATTTAAAAAAGGCGATGACACAAATTTGGCGACTCAATCAGCCGATGGAAGTCAAAGAGCTCAGCCCTAATTACTTTCAATTCATTTTTCAAAGTAAAGAAGACAAAGCCCGTGTAGCCAGTGGGTCGAACTGGAGCTTTGAGAACCAGTATATTATCTTGAGAGAATGGACTACCAATCTAAACTGCAATCATCCATGTTTTCAGGAAATCAACCTCTGGGCCCAGGTTACAAATCTTCCGTTGAACTGGTTAAGTGCAGAAGTGGGGTTGAAGATTGGTAGGACTTTCAAAGAGGTCAGTAATGTGGTTATAGTAAACACAGGAAGTCATGGGGGAAAACTGCTGCGACTTCTCGTTACTCTTAAAATAGATGAACCGATTCCTAGAGTAGCTCATATCAGATTAGGGGAACAGATTGTAAGTGTGGGTTTTAAGTACGAGAAGTTAATGAACCTCTGTCATTATTGTGGAAAAATTGGCCACCTAGATCGTACTTGTTCTCGAAGAATTCAAGATATCAAGAACAAAACTCTAAAGGATGGTCAATACGGTGACTGGTTAAAAGCTGCAGATGGTCCTCGATGGTTGGGAGCTCATTCAGGGACAAGACATTCTCCCCCAAATTCACCATCGTGCTCAGAGGCAAGGAGTTCATATAAAGCTTCAAACAGTCAGGCAGAGAATAGCAATCAAATAATTCCCATCCAGAATACTTCTCAAGTGCCATTGGAGCAGCCTTTAGAGAACTCAGGTACCTGCATTTCACCAAATCTGCTGAACTCAGCTGCCTCCATTTCATCCTCCTCAAATGCACTAAGTCCTGAAGCTCCCGTCTTTCTTACTCAGTCAAATGCTTCTAAGTCTGCTACTGGGATGGAGGTTGAACTTTTTAAACAAAATGATTCCGCTTTAGTTATTGTGCAGCAAGATAAGAAGATAAGGTCTGTACAAGGACCTTCAAAAACTTGGAAAAGAATTGGGAACAAGACTGGCAGGCTTCAAAGGGAACCAGTTATTCCCATAGTTATTGATAACATCTCGGGTTTAAAGAGGAATTCCTCAGTGAGTGATCTTCCAGAATCATCCAAAGAACCAAAGCTTCTGAAACAAGGTGACATCTCTAACCAAACAAATATTTCTGAAAAGGTGGGGGCTGCCAGCCTGGAGTGGCACCCAAGTGATCAATGTTAGCCATGGTGTGGAATTGTAGAGGGCTGGGTGGGCCCTCTACAATTTCCCACATCAGAGAGTTATTGAAGACTCATCACCCCAATTTTCTCTTCCTCTCAGAAACCAAAAAAACTAAAGCTTTTGTTTGTACAGTTAGTAAGAAATTAGGTTTTGAAGATAGATGTATTATAGTGGATCCTTCTGGTCTTAGTGGTGGATTGGCTTTATTCTGGAAAGACAATGTTGTTATTCAGCAGGTGGTAGTGAAAGAGTTCTATATTGCTGTGCAATTTCATCTTCCTCAGGCAGTGACTCAATGGGGGATATTTGTTTATCTTAGTCCTGTCAGAACAATTAGAACACTTCAATGGGACACATTGTTGGTGGACAAATCATATTGGGGCAGCAACTGGATCTCAATAGGGGATTGGAATGATATTCTCTCCTCCTGAGACAAGAAGGGTGGCAATCACAGGCCTCAGATCTCTCTCTCTGGATTCATTAACTTTGTTAACAGTATGGCCATGGAGGAGCTAAAGATGGAAGGGCCTCTTTTCACATGGTGCAATAATAGGGCTTTCCCAGCTTTGGTGGAAGAAAAATTAGACAGAGCTTTTGGCTCCTTGGAGTGGAATCAGAACCATCCAAATGCTTTCGTTCTAAATAAGATTAGAAGTGCCTCTGACCACTCAGCTATCCTATTGGACCAAGGTCTGCCTAGGGAGAGGAGGAAAACAATGTTCCATTCTGACAAGCGGTAGTTAAGTATGGAGGGCTGTGAGGAGGTAGTTAAACAGGCATGGTTGACAGAAGTTAGTGGCACTCCCTTCTTCAAGCTAAAAGAAAAATTTAAACTCACCAGGATTGCCCTTCTGAAGTGGAGTTCCAGCTTTCAATCTCAAAGGCAGGCATTCATAGCAGATCTCAATCTTAAACTCGAAACTCTAAATGAGAATAAAGCTGACATTGACTGGGAAGAGTGGGAGACTACTAGAAGAAGTTTAAATGCAGCTCATAAACAGGAGGAACTTTTTTGGCAGCAGAAAGCAAAGTCCAAGTGGCTTAAGGATGGAGATGCTAATACTCGATTTTTTCATGCTCTAACTTTACAAAGAAGGAGGAATAATGCCATTACCAGACTAATATCTCCTCAGGGCACTATCTTATCTCATCAGAAGGACATTGAAAAGCACATTGCAGATTTCTATAACAATCTTTTTTCCACTGAAGGTTGCTGGGGTGGGGATACTATTCTGCCACTTATTCCTTCTACAATTATTGCTGAAATGAATCAAGCTCTGCTAAAGCCAGTGGAAGAAGAAGAGGTTAAGCTCTCTTTGTTCAGTTTCCATTCAGATAAATCTCCTGGGGAGGATGGAATGACAGCTGCCTTTTATCAGCACTTCTGGGGCATAATCAAAGAAGATCTTATGGTTGCAGTTCTAAGCTTCTTCCAGACAGGTATGCTGCTCAAGTACTGGAACCATTCTGTGATCTCTTTAATTCCTAAGATCCAAAACCCAGAAACTTTGGGGCATTTCAGGCCCATAAGTTTGTGCAGTGTTGTTTACAAAATAATTTCTAGGATTTTGGCTCAAAGACTTAAAGTTTGTCTCACACATTGCATAAGTGATTTTCAAGCAGCTTTTGTGGAAGGAAGGCAATTGGTGGATAATGTGATCATAGCCCAAGAAGCTTTTCACTTCTTAAACAGACATGTATCTGGTCCTAATTACTTCATGGCACTTAAATTGGATCTTGTTAAAGCCTTTGATCGAGTTGAATGGATCTGTCTGAAAAAAAATCATGCTGCAAATGGGATTTCACATGGACTTTGTTAAGTTAATTATGATCTGTGTCTCTTCAGCCTCATTCTCTTTTAAAATTAATGGTTCTCTCAGTGGATTTGTGACTCCTTCAAGAGGCATTAGGCAAGGGGATCCTCTATCCCCTTACCTTTTCATCATAGTGGCTGAGCTTTTGTCTGCTCTGGTTGTGCACTCTGTTGATAATGGGCTTCTCAAAGGGTTGAAAGTTTCCAGAAATGGCCCTTTGCTTTCTCACCTTTTGTTTGCAGATGATTCTCTGTTTTTTTGCAAGGCTGGGACTGATCAGGCTTCCATACTCATGAACCTGCTAGAGCAATATAGATTGTTTACTGGTCAAGTTGTTAACCTGCAGAAATCGGCCATCTTTTTCAGCAAGAACACTCCTCAGCACATTCAATTTTCTATCTGCTCTCTGATGAATGGAATATCTTCACACAGATCCACGAGGTACCTTGGGCTGCCTTTGGGTATTGGTAGATCAAAAAGAGAAGTATTTGATTATCTTCTAGATTCTGTCAGAACTAAGCTCACCAGCTGGAAAACAAAATTTCTTAGCACTGCAGGGAAAGATGTGTTGCTGAAGTCAGTTATTCAAGCTCTTCCAATTTTCACAATGTCCTGCTTTAAATTGCCAATTTCTCTGTGCTCTGAAATCTCTAAGCTTTGTGCTCAGTTTTGGTGGAAAACAGGTACTGACCAAACTCAGAGCATTCACTGGAAAAAATGGAGCAATCTATCTCTGCCAAAGCTGCAAGGAGGGCTTGGTTTTCTGGACTTGCAGCTGTTCAACAAGGCTTTAATTTGCAAGCAGCTTTGGAGGGTAGCTTCTAATCCTGATCTTTTGGTCAGCAGACTTCTTAAGGATAGGTACTTCCCCAACTCCTCTATTGTTCATGCTAAAAAAACTCAAGGTGGATCTTGGATGTGGAACAGTTGGGTTGATGTTCTTCCTATTTTCTCACAGTGTATGAGAATTGAGGTGAGAAATGGGCTTCATACAAAAATTGCAGATTTTAATTGGGTTCCTAAGCTCAGTAAACCTACTCCAACTTTAATTCCCATAGCTAGAGATCATTTGATTTGGGTGAAGGATTTGTTGGTGGATGGTAGTAATCTGTGGAATGAGTGGCTTGTTAAACAGGTCTTTGATGCAACTGATAGTAAAGCCATTCTGGCTATATCTTCTCTTCATGTGGACAGAAATGACAGATTGTACTGGGGGTTGGAGAGAAAAGGGAACTTTTCAGTGTCAAGTACTTATAAATTTTTATCCAATCTCAAACTCTTACAAGCTGATATTCCAGAGAGCAGCAATTCCTCTTCTGTTAAGAAGGAAGTTAAGTTTAGATTCTGGAAGCTCAAAATTGCTGGTAAGCTTAAATTCTTTCTGTGGAAATGCTTAACTAACACTCTTCCTGTGGCTGTGCAATTGATCAAAAGGGGAGTGAATCTGGATACTGTGTGTGCTGTGTGTGGAGGGAATCAGGAAACTGTGGAGCATATCTTTTTTGACTATCCAAGAGCTCAGAGATGCTGGGAAGTTAGCCCTGTCCAGTGGGATGGACTTTGCAGCAGGACAAGCAACTTTTCTGACTGGTGGTTCCATGTTTGTTCTTTAAAGAAGTCTGAAGTGGCCGAAGCTCGCATTCAACTAACTACATACCTGCTTTGGTGGCTTTAGAAGTCCAGAAACCTCTGGATTTTTCAAAAGTCTTGGATTCCAGAACATGTGATTGTGAAGCTTGCTCTCTCGGACTGGCTTGAATTTTCCTATGCAGCTGCTAGTTCTTAGGTTTTGATCTTCCTTTTCCTGTTTTCCTTGTATTTTTGTTTTGGTTGAGGGAGTCTTTCCCGGCTAGGCTTTATTTGCAGTGGTTCGGGTTGGGCTTTGTGGTTTCTGTTGGTTTGTTAGTTGGCTTATTTGACATCTTTGTAGGTCTTTTGTGTTAGTTGAGGTTCTAGACCACCTCGGGTGTGTCTCTCAGTTTTATTTTCAGTGTTTCTGTATCATGTATTCGAACGGTGTTCGCCGCTTTTTTATTATAGTTATATCTGTCGTTTTGGGAAAAAAAAAAGATAAAATCAACAATTAGTAAAATATGTTACTTTCACTTTGTCCCACCGCCAACGCTTCACCGAGCTCCTTGACCTGAAAATATTTTTATAAAAGAAAGGGCTAAGCCAACAATGCTTAGTGGGGCAAAACATGTCACTTAAGAATATTACACAATTACACAATGAAAATACTTTTACATGACAGTGAATCTCGAACATGTTTTACGTAGAACTAAATCCACGGAGTACTCGGCCATAATGTCATTGTCTAGCCAAAAGGCTACATGAATTTCAAATCGTAGGCAGCATTGATTAACCCGAAGGTTACATATATTAGCATACGGAGATCACATAAGTAACTTGAAAGTAACAATGAAACATTCATATAAGACATGTACATGATCGATTTCTTGTAAAAAATAAACCCCACCTTGATAAATGGATGAATGAGGGATGACAAGTTTGAAATTGAAAGAATGTCTACTTCTCAGTGTAATCCAACTCTACAAATGTGAAATATCTTGAATCAATGCGATTTTTACACATATATTATATATACCACACACACCACCAATTATTCTATATGAATTTATATGTATGTTTAACATATACGCTATGTATATTAATTATTTATTCTTCTTTTGATGTATTATATGTACATAGACATAGAGTTATATTTATCTATTTTAAGATTTAATAACCCTTCATCTAGTTTATGTGTGTAAAATCGCATTAATCCAAGACT